CAAAGGATCACACTAAAAACTAGGATTTCTTGTTAACAAATAAGAGGCTCTAAAAATAATTCCATAATTCTCTCATTAAAGGATTTTATAATGACCTACAATCTAAAAATGAAGTTACTGCTAAAAAGGAGCTTAACACTGGTAAGAACATAAGCCCAATATTATACCTTATTGACACGAATCTGTTCTTGGTTCATTGATGTATTCCACTTCACTTCCGGTGAGCTTCAACTCAAAATGTTACGATGAATGTCAGTACATTAGGGAGGTGTTACGGGTCTTAAAAGGTTCATTATCCTCATTTCACACTAATCATTCCAAGGCTAAATAAAACAGATGCTAAGAACTATTAGTGCCTGATTATTAACTTCAGGCTTAATACGCAGCATCTTAAAACAGATCTCCAATGCACTAATTTTTGAGCTGAAGATTGTTATATTTGCACTTAAATTACCATTAAACGAAGTTTAATAGTGTAGTATGTTTATAAATGTACTTTTACTACTTACAGATTTAACTATTTCCATGTGATTTTGTTGACCAGCTAGGTTTGGGAATTATAGGTTCAGAATACAACATACCCAGAGTTAAGGTCTGGTTTTGGCAAATAGATCTGGTATCTGCAAATTCTTAAAATTAAGAGGAAAGCCAGTAATCCTTTTTCTTCCAATATAAGGTATATACACCTGTCCCTTATTTATCCGGTTATTTTTTTTATATATGGTAAATATTCCAATTACTTTTCATAAATGGTTTCCACTTACACATTTTTTTTCACTATTAGCAATAATTCTAAAAAACAATTGCCTAACTCAACAACGTACAAAGAATACTAATACAATTGATCTTCCTGTTCCTTGGATGGCAAATATAAAAGTATGGGTGATTGTTTTTCAGGATTGGTTTTACAAACGTTTTGCTGTAGAAGCTGAAAATTATAAAAAGTCTTTTAAAATACTCAGATGATGCACCTGGTCATTCACACAATTTAGAACATCCAAATAGAAAAGTTGTATATTTACCAAATACAACTTCCTTGATCCAACCTTTATACCAAGGCATTATTTCCATCTTAAAGGTTAAATGGAGTTTTAAGATTTTTAATAAACTTTAATTACAAAAGCCTGGAATACACAATTTTCAGTTATATCAAGAACACTGCTTTAGCTTTGAGTGATATAAAGCCATCAACTTTGCTTGCTGGAAAGTATGGTCAAAAGTGGCTGTACTAGGGAATGTGGTTCCAAAAATTGAAGAGGGATTAACTGGCATTATTAGTTCACTAAATTTCAAGGCACTGACAATTTGAATGTAGATGATTAAATTACTAGTTGATCATGAACTGATAACAAATTCACTTAATATCTGAAGCCCACTCTGACAAGGCAGTGACCCTGAACCAGTTTCATTCATTGCAGAAATTTACAAAGCTCAATTGGCCACAAAGCTAGAAACTGCAGTTCTAGATGCCAATCCAAACATCCAACATGCCTTACAATTTTGAAGATTTTTTAAAATGTTGCAGAGAATATTGAAGAATTCATGAAAACTTAAGCAAAAGATGGGGCTGGAAGACTATCCAGAAACAGTGAAACCGAAGTAGTACTTCCAAATACTTTGAGCGAAGGATGACTTTGTGCCAATTTAAAATGAAGTTACGGGTTTTTGTCACCTACAGCGTGGCCTCTAAAAGACTGAAGCAAATATTTTTTTAAAAAGTTGCTTTAGAGTAGATGCTGACAGCGAATTTTGGTTTTCTTTAATTTTCATTAGCATTTTTTTTGTGAAATATTTTTATTTACACTGGCCTATTTTTTTTTTCATACTGGTGGACTTTTTACATGGTTTTCTTCTGCATAAAGACAGATGGAATGGATAATCCATTTAAATCCAGAAAAGGGTATACTTTCCCCCTCTCAAATTTTATGTTTCAGATATATGGTGACAAAACGCTTGATGCTAAAATTATTTTGAATATAGACACTTCAAGTGAATTAACTATACTGGTAAGGGTGATAATAAAAGACTAAAAGCAGGTATAGTTTAATGTATTTTAATAGCAAACTTACAGGAACAGCACAGAAGACAGACAACATTAAAAACATGTACTTGCATGTAGGACAACTCAGTTAGAAAAGTATAGCGAATGGATGGAATCTACTGTATGATAAAAATGCTACAAACACCATTTAGTTGCCATCAATAAGAAATTTACTTGTTTTAAAAAAATCCAAATGCTGGCATTGTCCAGAAAAATTTAACAGGTTTATTTATAATTGTTATAAAGTTGAACTGCTGAAACTTGTTCACTGAAACATTTTGACTTTACT